CGAAACGTCGCATAAAAAAATCGGTATCACCACGTTAAACCTCATCAAAAGTTGCAATGAAAAAGTATTTTCAGTTTTTCTGTATCTCTGATAATAACGGAGAAAAAAAATAAAATAGAAATTCCAAAAATTCACTTTTTTCGATATAACTCAAAAAACTAAAAATAATTTTCAAAATTTTCGAAGGCTCTTGATATGAGCCTCCGAATGCGCAACTTTTTCCCCATTTAAGCGACTTCGTATCTCCTACCATTTCCGAGATCCCCATGCTGTTCAACCTTATCTTGGACAGACTGTATATCTCAGTAATTATAACTGCTAGACCCCAAGTATGATGGATTGTTGAAATCAGCTCACCAGGGAGAATCTCAAAATGAAATAATATATAGGGTGTTCGATTGAAAAAAGTTCAACTTCAGTGTTTTGTGATTTTTGGGGACATCCTGTATGTTTCAAAATAATTGCATGCAACTTCCTAGAGAGGAAGAATTCCAAGAAGATAAGTGGTTAGCCTTCTAGAGACCGAGGCGTTTCTGGTGGCCCACCCTGTATATAAACAGGCTGTTCCGTCAAAACCGCACATTAGACGTACCGATTCGGAGTTCTAAAAATGATACTGATCTGAAAATTGTATGCAGGGGCTATCGATTGAGTCCTTTTCAATAAAAATATTTTCAAGATGGCGACATGACCTAAAGTGATCTTAACTTCTATAGATATAGATATATATTATACCTAATGCATTTTTATTTTAGATTTTCCCAGATAAGAGCTGATTTCACCAATACTACTACACTAGCGGAAATTATTACAGAGATACTATACAGGGTGTCCCTGAAAGGTGCGGAGAAAAAGCTATACCACAAGTTCCTGAGGCGTAAATATGACGATCTAACTCAACTTACCTCAGTCCAAAGTGGATGATTTCAGAGATACAGAGTGTCAAAACTTCAATTTGATTTCCATTTTTTATAAATATTTTTTTTAATAATTGGTGTATTGTCACAATATATTCGGCTTGGGGGGGTTTTGCTGGTTGAGAAATTAGAATTTGCTATCATTTTTATTGTTGAGTTAAGAGGGCGCCACCTGCGGAACCGTGCACACATTTAAAACGAAATAACTTTTTTGAGCCACCCCATATTTAATTTTTAAATGAAAATTCGGATTGTCCAACGTCTTTCACATAAAAAATGTATACGTGGTAAGAGTTGATTTGAGCAGCTGTTTTTGAGATATCTGGATTTTAAAAATTCACTTCGTAAATGGCCAGGTCTAAATTATTGTAATAATAAAATTGAATACATTTGAAGCGTAGGCGGTGAATTAAAATAATGTATTGTCACCGAAATTATGAACACCTGCCAAATTTCAAGTTAATCGGAGTCATGGAATTTTTGTTGAAATTAAAAAAAATGGCTGCTCCAAGATGGCGGACAAGATTTGGTCCGATTCCATTCAAAATTGGCGTTTTTCAGGTCGGAGATCATGATTTTTCAGTTGAAATTTATTAATTCAATTCAATTCAATTTTTTGTTTTTTTATAAATGACGATAACTCCGTTGTTATCAACACAAAACTATTACTGCGGACATATCATCTGTAAGAAAAAAAAAAGTTATTTGTAACTAAGTCATAGTGAGCTATGACCTACATTTGAAAAACTAAAGTTGGTGCTGATATCTCAAATTCTAGAAGAGTTGGTATAAATTTCATATTTTTTTCGAAATCACTTCGAAAAACTGCCATGAGAATGTGAAATTCCTGTTTGAATATTTTCATAAATAAAGAAGTTACGGAGGAGACATGAAAATGATCAAAATCTGTTTTTTTGCGTATAAAACAAAAACGAATAGATTTTATCAAAATATTGTTTCACATTATAGTTGGCCTTGACAAACTCCACATTTGGTGTCATTTAACCGACCTCGTATCTCTCACCGTTAAAAAGATACCCATGGTGAGCATGGTAAGTGGGACACACTGTATTTCTCTTAGTATATTTTGTCTCAAATTATTATAGGTAGGTATGTATGTACATACCTAACAGAAATCCGATTTTTTTATTTTAATACCCGTGTCTTGAAAACGTAACCACTTTTGGAATATCCCTGTGTTGTATTTTTGATAGCTATCACATATACAGGGTGTTTCGAAATTCGACCGACAACGTTTGACAGGTGATAGCCCTCGTGATTTCATAATCATTGAGATAGGAACATTCGGTCTTCAAGTGTTCAGTTCTCGAGATACAGGGCGTTGAAGTTGAGAAATGAAAATAGTTGTTTCGCAATATCTCAAGAATAATTGAATATAATGCATTCAACTTCGGTATATGGTTTCATCTTTGAATGGGCCATTTTTTGACCTGGAAGCCATTCCGGACATTTTGTCCAGTGGTGCCCTACAGGGGGTTGTGGCATTTTTTCCTTCCATATTTTCTACGCCACTGATTGAATTTCGATTATTTCCAATTCCTCGAATTCATTGTTCAATTTTGTTCAGAAAATGCATCACCTTCAACTGAGCTGAAATAAACAGTTTTCGAGATATTCGACCCAAAATAGAAGATTGCATAGTAATATTTCATCATTTTCAGTAGTAGAAAATTGCAAAAATATTTTTCTGGTGTTGAGTAGATTAGATACTATTCAGATCTCATGCTATAGCTGAACAGAAATAGTTATTCCACGCATAAAGAGAGAACAAAAATGTTCGTAATTTTCTAATACTGAGGAAGATGAAAAATTACTATGCAAACTTCTATTTTGGGTCAAATATCTCGATAACTGTTCATTTTAGCTTAGTTGAAGGTGATGCACTTTTTCAACATAATTGAACAATCAATTCGAGAAATTAGAAATAATTGAAATTTCATCAGTGGCGTAGAAAATATGTGCGGAAAAGTTATCACAACCCTCTGTAGCGCACCTCTGGATAAAATTCTCGGAATGTCTTTCTGGTCAAAAAATTAACCATTGGAAGATCAAACCATATACCGAATTTGAATGCATTTAATTCAATTTTTCATGAGATATCGAGAAAAAACTATTTTAATTTCTCAACTTCAACGCCCTATATCTCGAGAACTGAACACTTCAAGACCGTCTGTCCCTATCTCAGTGATTATGAAATCACGAGGGCTATCACCTGTCAAGCGTTGTCGGTCGAATTTCGAAACACCCTGTATATCCAGGGCAGAGGACAGGTTCGTAATCTGCAATATTCAAAAATTGAAAAATGAAAGAACGTACAGTCGTATTCAAAAAAAAGCGTACAAGTATATTGGAGGGAGAAATTAACGTCATCGTATTTACGTAAAACGGGCTATCGGGAATAAATGTTTACCAAATGTTGACAGTAGAGTAATCATAGGTTCTCAAAAACACAAAGCATTATTGGCTGAGCCAATTTCCCACAACGAGAACTAGAATGCCGAAATCTTATAATTCTTGTACGCTTTTTTATTGAATACGACTGTAAGGTGTGTAAGGTGTCATCAGAACAATTAAGTGCTATGTTTTATGAGAATTTTCATCTGAATATACAAGGTGTTTTTGAAATAAGTGCACATATTCAGCACATTTAGGAACGCACGATGTTCTTTGAACATTATTATATAAAACATTAATATGATACACTCTATATAAGGAATATTCCCATAATATCAGATTTTTTTCTAATTCTTTTGATTAACGAGAAATTTCAGCCCAAAAATTGAACAAATAAATACCTGTGCCTACCGCATGGATATTTGAACAGAGGTGACGTCAGATTTGCTACAGTGTAGAACTTTGGGTGGAAAAAGGGGTCTAACCTCAAATTTTATTTTGATCCCTATTTTTTTTTGATTGGTGCCATTCGATAGTACACGTCGAGCTTCCTCAGTGTTTGAAATATTTGCACTAATTTCAATGCCTCCCTTTATAGATATAGAGCACGTCTCACTTTAAAACGGCCCCTCCTCTATATTAGATATTAATAGTCATGCGATTTTTACCAAATTTGGACCGGAAAGAATTAATATGATCAGTTTTTAAGAGACGAACATCCTTTTGGACAGAGCCGTGCGTTTTTAACGAAATAAAATAAAGGGGTAAATTTTTTATGAAATCATATTAGGAATTGTTTTGCAGGAAAACTAACCATGTTGTTGTTCCACATATGCTTCGTTCCGAATTAACAGGATTGGCTAAATTTCTTTCATTTTCTGTCTCGAAAAAATAGTGGATTTGAATCAACTGCAAATATTCGAACGTTCAGTAGCTCCGGTCAGTAGGAAATGATAAATTGAAAGAAAAAACAAGATTATACCATTTTTTGTTTCCGTGTAAATAGTTATTTTAAGTTCGCAAAAATTCTATTTTGATTCAGACGAGGATTTAGATGTGCCTGTTTTTTTGAAACCCTTCTTAGAGATCATATGAAAAATTGCATATGGGGGTTTGGAACCATGAAGAACATTATCATGAGGCCAGTTTCCCTGTAAAAAATTCATAATATGATTTCATGGAAAATTGCTCCCTTATTCTCATTTCAATCAAAACTTCCTATCTTGAAATGCTCGATTAAAAAAAAGCAGCGATTTTGATATTGGTGTGCATCAAAGGCATCATTCACTATTATGAAACCATACTTTTGAATATGTCTATATTATATATTCTTCTTCTTCGAACATGTTTCAAACAAGCTGATTATCGATTTGGCAATTTTGGGACAATAAATCATATAATTTGATCTAAAATACCTATACTGAAATTAATACCTACTGATATTTTCATTCAAAGATACGTGGAGATAAATTTCCAATGGAGAGGAATTGATTTTTAAATTTTTTGGTTGGATTTATAGGGTTTTAGAATGTTGTTCTTCCTGATCTATAAACGTACCTAAGTTGAGTACCATCAATTACCCTTCAAAGACCCTCCTATAGCCCTAATCATTCATTATCAATTGCTCCTAATGGCCTTTTTACCACTACCACATCACATTTTTACCTGCGGAGATGCTGACGACGTTTCCTCTAGAGTCTAGAAGGCCAAGGCAGAAAAGTAGTGTTCAGTCATCAGTGTTCGTTCACTTGTTCAGTCGAGTGTTGAATGTTGTTTGTGTAGTGTTATTTCAGCCATGTTAGTCGAATGCCCACCGAGTTATTTACGATATGTTGAGAATATTTCAGAGTACCAGTGTAGATCTCTAGTTTGAGGCCATGTGTGCACAGATTTCGAGTCTTGGAATTTCAATCAGGGAGTGTTTCAGAAGCGTCAGCAATAATAGTGAAAACGGCCATCGATAATGAAGTGAAATCCGAGCATATGTAGGTACGCTACGGCAGCGAACCCACTTCAGTGACCCACATAACTTTAAAAGCCAAACAATCGAAGACTTTGCCTACTTCGAATATGTTAACCGAATTCATCGCGACATAATGAGCTCTTAACCAACCTCACCTACATCGATGTAAAACATGTCAAAAAAGGCGATCGCGAGTAAAACAGCTTCAGATCAAGGTATAGTACCCCCAAGGTACCAACCGCCCCCGTTACCCAACAACCAGGGTATACTCAAAAACACCGTCGCCCCTAACGACCTAAAGAGACCGCACAAGCTTGGCGAAAATGTAAAACTCCTCTACCCCAACGAGCAGGCAAAATACTACCCCAACCAGCCAGGCAACAACAAGTATCTCCAGCAGTACCCCCAATACCCACCTCCCAAGCACCTGGAGGAAGGGCGAACAGCGCAGGTGCAGATCCACCAGGAGAACGCGAGACCCAGGGGCCCTGAAGAGCCAGCAGGAGTGCCCCAAGTGCAGAGGCAGCCCGTTCGGTACGACGACGAGTTTCTGCGACCGGAGATGCTGAAATTCGTGAGGAAGCCCGACGACCCGCGGTGCCTCGACCAGAATCGGCAGCTGCAGAGCATTCTGCTGGAGCTGCGGTCCCTGAAAGAGGCCAACCAGCACCTGGCGGACGACAACCAGGAGCTGCGCGACCTGTGCTGCTTCCTGGACGACGATCGCCAGAAGGGGAGGAAGCTGGCGCGCGAGTGGCAACGTTTCGGCCGCTACACCGCCAGCGTCATGCGCCAGGAGGTGTCTGCGTACCAGACTAAGCTGCGCGAGCTTGATAACAAGCAGCAGGAGCTGATCAAGGACAATTTGGAGCTGAAGGAGTTGTGCTTGTACTTGGACGAGGAGCGGGCGGGGAACGTGATGTGCTCGACTTGTGGTGGGGGAACGGGGGGCAATTTGAGGGACGATGGGGACGGGTCGAGTTCGAGCACGAACGCTGACGAACCGGGGGCGGCGAGGGAGTTTGGAACGGGGGAGAACGGGCAGCGTAGGGCGGAAGGCAGGGAGAGGCTGTTGCACGAGAGTTTGGCGAGGCAGCGGAGCACCTTTAATGGTGAGAGAAAAATATTCGTTTGATAGTTGATATGCTTTTCGGTATTTTTCAAAATGTTCAGGATAATACGAGGGGTAAATCGATCTCCTTGGAAGTCTGGTGTACACTCTGTTGGAAGTCTTTGGAAGTCTTTGGAATTCTTTGGAAGTCTTTGGAATTATTTGGAAGTCTTTGGAAGTCTTTGGATGTCTTTGGTAGTCATTGACAGTTTTCTATTCTAAGGAAATAACTCATGGTTATTGAACTTTTTCTTCAATTTTATAATTGGATATGAACAAATCACCTCCAATTGGTTTGACAATTATTAGGTACCTACTTCTTGATGACTAGAAAAATCTTGGAAGACAAATATCTCAGTAAACTAATTCATACTCGACTATATTTTATCATTATGAACAGAAGCGCATATAGATCTGCAGGTACTTAGTAGGTTGTATGTATACATATATCATTCAGCAAATCTGAATTCCAGTGGCTCCGATGGAACGTGTTTTTTGTGATTTGATTCTATATACCGAAATGAGCCTTTCAAGTAGGTAATTTGATTTTGTGATGCACAGCAGAGGAATACGTAATACATAATATACAATACTGTTCTTTCTTAAAAACAGACCTGTTTCCGACTAGAATTAATAATATGTTCCTTTGATAAGTGAATCATTTTGAACCTTGGCCTTTCTGGAATAAGTTTAAGTAGCTTATACCTATTTCACTCATTCTCAAGATTTCTTTTTTTTTTTCGTTTGTGAGAATATTTAATTTCATTTGTGGAATACAGGGAGTTCGTAGATAAAACCGACGGAACTTATGGGGTTATAGGGACTGCCTCGGGATAATACCTAGCAAACATTAATACAGGGTGAGTCATGAGGAACTGCGGCTTTCGCCACCGAAGATCTACTGGAGATCTACTTGCCTACGTCACCCATTTATGGCAATCTTCAATAGAAAAACACGGGGAGTCTCTAGCTGTCGCGTTGGACATATCGAAAGCATTCGACCGTGTTTGGCACGAAGGACTCCTCCACAAACTACCATCATACGGCTTACCACCTCAGCTATGCCATCTCTTATCGAGTTTTCTTTCAGGCAGATCGCTTCACGTGGTGGTGGACGGTGTATCGTCTAATACCATTGGCATCAACTCCGGCGTTCCACAAGGATCCATTTTGGCACCAACATTATTCCTGCTTCATATCAATGATCTGTTGGGAGTAACAACTTGCCCCATCCACAGCTTTGCAGATGATAGTACCCTCCATACTGCGTTCTCTTCCAGAATTCCCGTTTCTTCCCAGGAAACTAAGAACTCACGGCGCAGGCAGGTCAACGCTGTCAATGAAGATCTTGCTGAAATCACAGCCTGGGGAACGAACAACCTAGTTCAATTCAACGCCACCAAAACTCAGGCCTGCATTTTCTCTAGAAAGGCGGAACTCAGTATGCCCGATATTGTAATGTCTGGCTCCACCATCCCCACCAAGCCCACCATATCTATGCTCGGTATTTCCATCAGCAACACTCTTTCATGGGATAATCATGTCAGATCCATTGCAAAAGCTGCTTCACAAAAACTCGGATTCTTGTTCCGTGCGAAAAGCTACTTTACACCTCAACAGCTTCTCATGATCTACAAAGCGCAGATACGGCCTGTTCTAGAATACTGTTCCCACATATGGGGTTCAGCACCAAAACATACGCTGATGCTCTTAGATTCCATCCAGAGAAGAGCCATTCGCCTGGTGGGTGACGTCACACTCACTCACTCTTTGACATCATTGGAACACCGTAGAAAGGTCGGCGACCTTTCACTTTTCTATCGATACTTCCACGGGCAATGTTCTTCGGAAATCTCTGCAATCATCCCTCCACTAGCAATACCAATCAGACGAACTAGACAAGCCCAGTCAGCACATCCTTTCGTTGTCAACCTCGAAAGATGTCGAACAGCACTTTATCAAGACTCCTTCATCCATAGAACGGCTAGGCTCTGGAATTCATTGCCTGTGGAAGTATTCCCAACAACATATAATCTCCAAAAATTCAAAAAAAATTCCAATACCTACCTCCTGTCCCTAGCCTCCCTAGGAACGCACGATGTTAGGCACGCATTATAGGGATTCCCTTTCGTGCGCTCCAATCGATAAAAAAAAAAAAAAAAAAAAAAACTGTACCGGGTGATTCACCATAAATGGGGGGGACCCTTTAGCTCACTTATTATTGAACCGATTTGAGGGTGGTCAGAATTCTGAATCTTGAATCACACTGTATATGTTCCAATTGAATGTCAGTAGATAGTAAATCAAAAGTTGAGATAGGAAGATTGAAGCCGTTTTGACCAATAATGAATAGTTTCGACACAAAAAAATCCTAAAGTTGAAAAATCTCGATTTTGAACACCCCATATCCCTGTAATCATTTCCGCTTAGACCCCAAGTGTGATACATTGACGAAATCAGCTCTTCAGGGAAAATATAAAAATACAATGAAATACAGGGTGTTCCATTTGAAAAAATCAAGTTGTACTCTGTAGATCGTTTGATCCGAGCACCCTGTATTTTCTGATGCAACGAGAAAAAAATTTCTGAGAAATCATTTTAGATGATTTTTAAAATTTTTAGATAGATTCAAAAATAAGTGAGCTAGAGGGGGTCACATTTATGGTGAATCACCCTGTACATACTCCCACCACGAATAGAGGAACCTGAGGAGAATACCCAATGTCCATCAGAAAGTGTCTTCTTCACTTCTTTTCCAATATACCGGGTGACACAGGGTATCGGGCCACCCCTGTAACTTCTGCTTTCGTCATCGGATTTTTCTGAAATTCGGTACAGTTATATAAGCAATTATTTCGGATTTGATCACATTACAATCCAATATGGCGGACTTCCGGTATTTCTGTAAATGCCAGCAACTTTGTTTTTTCAAATGAAACACCCTGTATATTTTTACATATTAAAGTTCAACAGGTCGATACAAGTGCAATCTTTATTTCAAATGTCATTTTTTTCGAAAAAAATTTAATTAAAATTGTTTTTTCATTTTACCTCGTGGATAAATGAGATGTGGACAAGACTATTCACAATGAGTCACACATAACAGAAGAACATATTTTTTTCTGAAAAATTATTTTTTGTGTCACTTATCCAGGAATCAATTCAGCCACATTACTTTTTGATCAAAAATTATTTTTTTTTTCAAATGGAACCCCTATGGGCCACTACCCGTTTCTCTAGAACATACAAATGAAATATCATTTTTGTTTTTCGGTGCAGTAACAAATTGTATACATTCAGAAATCAACAACTAGTTTATGAATTTCCTTGCAGTTAGAATAATTTTTTAACTAGGTAGGCTGTGGAATGAATGACATTTGACATGAAGATTGCACTTCTTTTGACCTGTTGAACTTGAATATGTAAAAATATACAGGGTGTTCCATATGAAAAAACAAAATTTCTGGCATTTCCAGAAAAACCGGAAGTCCGCCATGTTGGATTGTAATGTGATCAAATCCGAAATAGTTGCTTATATAACTGTACCGAATTTCAGAAAAATCCGTTGACGAATGCAGAAGTTACAAGGGTGGCCCGATAGCCTGTGTCACCCGGTATATATGGTGGATTATGAGATTTGGCAAAAACATTTTTAGGTCATAACCGGCACCGTCATAACTTTCCAACTGCTTCTTCGATTAGTCTGATTTTGTCATGGAATATTCCGCTACTATTCTCTAATCGACTGACTTATTCAGAATCGGGAAACTCCAGGACCATTCTTGAAAAATATTGATAGTTTAGTTTATAGCAAAAAGTTCATCCTGTATATCGTTTTTGTAAACTGTGACAGGGAATTTTCAAAGGTCACACACAAACATCAGAAATAAAATATTCCAAATTCTCACATTTTCACTGCAGTCTGAAAAAACGTGTGAATTTTATGAAAAAATGAAAATTTGGCAAGAATTGAATTTATTTGGAAATTAATACTTCGCAACCCATAAATTTTACTAGTAAAAGTGAGACTTACATTTTCAATACTTCACCTCAATGGAAATCAACATATTATTTTATTTTCAGGCCTGGATTCAGTAATTAATTTTTTTGTGAAGGATAATAATCGCACCCTGTAGATCTTTTTCGAATCAGTGGATATCTGTGAAAATTTTGATGGTCATCGCTGAAAATAATTTTATGATTTCAATTCACAGTTTCATCTATTCGATTTTCTTTATTCAGTTAATTTGAAGAAACATTTTAGCCACCCTGTATTATTTGAGGGCATCGAGGAGGGCATGAAAATTCTACAGAAATATCACGCATCTTTTCATCAAATGATATTATGATTATTATCTCTTAAACGTCATGATTGTGATTAATAACTTTGAAATGATCGAGAAATAGTCAACAATATTATAGGAGTGGAGGAAGGTCACAGGAATGCTTAAAAAAATGTGATTATATACAGTGTGACCCACTTCTAATGGAAACACCCCTGTATCCTGTATCTAACGTAATCGTTGGGTAAGGATCCTGAAATTTGCTGGAGCGAGAGATATACCAAAAATGCACTCTATGACCAAGTGGGGTAGTCTTCAGTGATATACACTGCTCGCCAACAGCCATGGAACCATCCCAATTTCCGGAAAATGATATTAGGAGTCGAAATAGGTCGTAAATCCTTTCAGATTCAGAATCAGGACGCCCAATGTACTAACTATCCATATTTTTCCTGATAAATTTTCAGTTCAGAAAAATTAAATTTTGTCGCACTTTTTACGGAAGCACCCCCATATCTTATACGTAATTGACTTTATCCACAGATTTTGGACTTTCCCTTCCTCCTGCAAATTTCAGAACCTTACTTCAATAATCACGTGAGATACGGGGGTGCTTCCATGAGAAGTGAGACAAAATTTAATTTTTCTGAACTGAAAATTTTCTAGGAAAACTATGAATAGTTAGTAAATCGGGCGTCCTGATTCCGAATCCGAAGTG